ACATGGATCACGTGACTTGTGTTTGGGCCCATCCGGGCCCAATATGGCTTTGCTGTATACTGACACGGAACAAACCGGTAATTATATAGTTACCATTTTGTGCTTACCCGAAATTAATAAGCACTGAATACTTTATAGAAACGGGATGTACCCATATGCAGGTGTGTTAGACAAAAAGTTCCTTGCTTATCGTGCATACAGTCCAGTTCCTACTTCACGCAGTTGCGAACGTTACAATGAAACTTGAGTTGTTGAAGTCAAGCAATTCGCTTCGTTTTGCGTGAAGTGCGGACTGACCATACGCCTACCGTGAGCTGAAATTCTGCGCTCACAGTAGAAGTTGAGCCCTATTAAACTACAGCAGGACCATGAACTTTTGGGTCATGTGTTTCGAACAGGAATTTCAGTGTCAGTTCTGTTTATTAAGTCCAAGCTTCGTGTCAACTGCAATAAATTTGTTTTGAGAAAGGAATTCAAAACATGCACTTTCCCAGTGACAGGCTTGTTTACGTTTCGCAGAAAATATATGCTTTCGAGTCTTTTTTGTGTGATGCATTTAGGACTAAATTAACAGTGACTGCTGGATTTGCGAAAGTTTTTAATTATGGTCTTCGACAACTTCGATTTAATATAAAGGGAATGCATTTATCCCCTTCATATAAGAGTTTCGTGCAAAATAATATGCAAATAAATGCGAAACAATGAGAACTCTTTTCCCCATGCACTTGATACTAGGGATAAGTATTCCGTGTATTGTCGAAATTTACTGCAGCTTTTAATATCAATTAATGAGGTGGCTTATGCACCAACATATAGAAACCTTTTGTTCTATTCGTTTCGGAATACTGCGACAAAACAGCCATAAAGAAATGAGGGAAATTATGCCAATATATACCGTGTGTTTTCCCCATTAAAAATGTACTTAATAATTAATAGACAGTGGTTTCCTCTTGCGTCGTCGCGGTATGTGGCAAGGAAAGTCAAATCTTCTCAGTTCTAGATCTTTGTCACAGCGTGGCGGTTACGGTATACTAGTAACAGAAGGTGAAATGTAACAGTGCACGTGATGACTAAATCGGCTGTTTACGACGGAAAGTCCTTAATTATAATACCATCGATATTATCTCGAAGATCTTTTAATCTCAAGACTTGTGCCATGAGATCTTCGACTGTCGACCACGCTTCTCGAGAATGTTTCCTTCCGATCCCGCGCGTCGGTGAATGCCACGCATGCGACCCGGGGACTGACATAATAGAGGATCGTACATGTAGGTGTTACGCAAGTAAAAACGAATGAGGGGAATTCCCGTTATGTTCCCGAGTCCGACATTGTTGCGAGCGTATCTGGCCGAGAACATCCTCGTTCCCAGGGTGTCGAGCAGTACGCTCCCACCACTACCTGCTCTCTCACCCTGGTATATATATCCCAAAATGTTGGATTCATATGCAAATGAAGCATAGTCTGGTGCCTGCCTGTGCTTTACATCACTATGTCGTCGCGGCGTGTGTTAAGAAACACGATTTTGTTTTCAAAGTTCAAATGTTACAACCTTATCCAGTCGATATGCAGTATCACGTGACACATTTCATATTATAATATGAGCAAATTTGAAAGGAAAGTATTTTTTGAGACGGTGTGGACAGTCAATGAACGTGAAAACATGGGCCTTAAGAAGGCCCCGAACCACACGCCATACATTTTGGAATCAACTTTTAGGGGTAAAACAATTTTTAACAACTTTTTTTTTGGCCCCCAAAATGGTGTTCTGGATCTGCCCTTGTCGCTAGCGAGTATTTTGTCCTCAACGTTTAATAATGTGGAAGTAAGGAAATCAGACAGCGATTATTACAAGACAGCCTCATGAAATATATTTCTTTCGAATCAAGTCAGCCTGATATTAATAATAACTAGAGATTCGCGTTTGTTGTTACAATTTACAAACGCAGAGTGGTCGGGTAGAAAACTTTTTTATGAAACACTGTCCAGTTAAGTAATGAAATTGTATGTAAGAACAAAGGATCACGTAATTAAATCCTTTCCAGGACAATCAATTATTTTGTTAAAAAATGCATCTTTAAAGGGTTGATAAATTTCAGTGAACATTCTATGTATTGCACACATACAGCGAGTCAAGCGAGTTTACGTACACAATAAAAAAATGTTTAGCAAGTAAGGTTTATCTGATTACAGAATACAAACATCATTGATTATTTAGTTCAAGAGTTATAGGTGAAAGTAATTGATCACTTTTTCAGATAAAATCACTTGTAATTTGACATCCGATGACGTAATCATGACGTCAGAGTAATATGAACCACTTCGGATAAGGGTCGGTATATATATTGAAAGCAGTTCATTACCATATACCGTTTGGAGAGAAAACTCTCGGAGAAGTATTGTCCGGGAAAAAAAGAAAGAACCAACAAAGAAGATTTATGAGAACAATTCTAGACAGTGGTCGGGTTGTGCCCGACCACTCAATAATAATAAAATAATAATAATAATATTGGATGGCTTTGATGGGGGATACAGAATATATTGCACTCGCTATATAGCAAAATGCACTCGCTCGTGCAATATATTGTATCCCCTCAAAGCCATACAATATCTCCTTTAACCTTCCCTCGTGGATGTCAGTATTCTTGATGAGATTTCTCCCTGATGGAGCATAGTCCCACTCAATCTCCACGGCAGCCACAAAGTATCCCGTAACTGGTTAGTAACGAAGCCTCGTGCAGACACGACACCACCGCAGAGTCCCACCACCAGGCAAGCAGCCAAGGCCACGCGTGGCCAGACGTGGACCAAACGGTG